ATCACGTGCTTGGCTACCAGCGAAGTCCGCACGTCGAGCTCGCAAAAGAGCTTGTACTCGGCCTCCATAGACATACCCTCCAAGTACTGGAGCCCCCCTCCGGTAGCGAGGTCAGGGCTAACCAAGTTCTCAGACTGGACGGCCGGGGCCAAAAAATTTGACCCTGCAACAACAGCCGGGATAGCAAACCCCCCACATCCGGACTGTTCCAGCGTTATCTATTTTTGGCGCTTGGAGGAGGTGCCCGGCTGATCGGTTTCCACGTTCGGGTCGGTCTGACGTGGCCGAGAGGTCCCGGTCCTCTTTCTCTGGTCGGCCAAGGGAATTATTATAGGCGAGGGCTTATCCCTCGCAATCCTTAGTCCCGACTTCGCCGGTGGCACCTTCCCACTGGCCTTAGCATCCTTGGCTCTCTTGGCGAGCATGGCGGTCACGTCGAGGTCCCCTCCGGCCATCAGTCCTGCAACGAAAGAAGTTTTAACATCAATTCAAAACACTGCTACACTACCGAAGCCTAAAACACATACCTAGCAAGGTGATCTCGAAGTGAGACGTCTCGAATACGTCCAAAAGGCCTCGGACAGGTAGGCCCTTCGGCAAATTATTAAGAAGCTCCACAATTTCTTTATCCTCGGCGGGGAGCTTGGAAAAAGGTATAGCTTCGAAGCGCGTCGGCTGCCTCATCCAATAGAAGGGGAATAACGGATTGTCCTCCCGGTCGAAGAAGCAATTTCTCAGATCCGAACCCCAACGAACCTTAAAGAACCCACTCTTAAACCCCTTATAAGAGGAGGTGAATGCTCGGAGAAATCCACGCTTCGGCACTCGAGCTAACGACACCCATTTCACCGGCTTGCTCGGCCGGCAAATGTAATAATAGAGGAAGGCAAGGGGTCGAGGTGTTAGACCGAGGCATAAGCACAGATTACGGAACGCTTGCATAGCTGCCCAAGCATTAGGGTGTAGCTGGGTCGGCGCCACGTTCAAAGCACGGAGGACCCCCATCTGAAAATCATCGAAGGGCAATGTCACGCCGAGATCCTGAAACCAACACATATAGGCGTAGAAATAGTCGTCCTCATCGGACCCCCGCTCCAAGAACACGAAATCGGTGTTCGGCCCATCGTCCTCGCACGCCTCGGCAAGCAACGAGAACTCGTCCTCCCCACTCCCAAAACATTTCTCTAAAGACACGAAAGTATCCAACAACTCTTGGTCGGACAACTTTGAAAAGTACACACCGACCTCTCCGTCCACCCATTCATACCCGGGCATCTCCACCGTGCCGTAATCAATCTTCACCTTTGGCTGAGTCCTCGGAGCGGCCACGACTTTGTCCCGACCATCATCAACCACTACCAAAGCATCTTCGATCGCCTCGGCGTGAGTCACCCCAGCCGGAACGCTTTGTTCGTTGACTTGTCCGAAACCCCTATCATCCCCCTCCGTGGCTCGTGCTAAGGCCACGGCCAATGTCAACGGGGGTGATACTTCTATCACTTCGTCCCCACTATCCTCCTGATCGGCAAAATCGGAAGGAAATACCACTTCACATTGTAAGGGAGGCAACCGTGATACTTCACTTGAACCCGATTCCTCTCGATCAGACGAACGGCCCGACGCCTCCGAAGATATGCAAGTTCTACCCGAGGAATAGTCCTTATCCATTTATTAAGCAGAATAAAGAATACAAAATTTACCTTTGATCGGTTTGCTCGATTACTTATGAAGTCGAGAGCGTTCGGCAAATTTACAGCATGTAAATTCACCAGCAGCCCCCCTCCTATTTATAGGCAAGGTAAATGGGGGAGGTGAAAAGACGTCCCGACACCCCAGCTGTTCGATTTAGGTCATCCAACGGTCCAGATTTAGTAACTGTTGGACCCGTAACCGTTAGGGCTAGCCTGGCAGGCCACATCTGTCGAGGCCTCGGTGCAAACTCTAATAGCTTGGAACCTCGGCTTAGGCTTCGCCCATCGAAGTCCTCGACATATCCCCATCCCTAAACCTCCGCCTACATCTCCCTCGCGTGATGTCAGAGGTCTCGGCCTACATTTATCTTGGCATGAGATCACGATAATCGCTCCACGCGTCAGAGGGTTCGGCCTAAGATCTCTCTCACGTGATGTCACAGGTCTCAGCCTACGTTTATCTAGGCATGAGATCACGATATTCGCTCCACACGTTAGAGGGTTCGACCTAAGATCTCTTTCACGTGATGTCAAAGGTCTCGGCCTACGTTCATCTCAGCATGAAATCACGATATTCACTTCACGCGTCAGAGGGATCGACCTAGCTCCCCCTCACGTGTTCAGAGGTCTCGGCCTACATCTCAATCACCCGAGGCCCTGACCCAGGCTACGCCATGCCGAGACTTATCAAAACCGCCCCTGCCTCTCCGACGACGACCAGGATGTCACACAGTTCTTACCGTCTTCGTCTTTCACATCCTCGACGATGCGGGGGTTTTATACCGTATGGGGGCCGACCTGGCCGAATACCCGACCCCTCGAATACTCGGGCCGAACACCCGACCCCTCGAACACTTGGGCCGAACACCCGACCCCTCGAACACTTGGGCCGAACACCCGACCCCTCAAACACTTGGGCCGAATACCCTCAAACACTTGGCCGAATACCCTAACATATCGACCACCCGAGAATCGAACGGAGTACGTCGGTATGCTCGGCCAAAACCATGTGCCGGCTCCAAGATGATTTCAAAGAGCTTAGTTAACGTAATGCATTGGATTAGCCCCCTAATTTCCCGGGGCCCAGTCCCTAATCACGGCCCAATAAGAAGTCATATAAATAGAGTCCCAACGAGGTACGTAACCAACTTTCAACTACCGCATTTATTACGCCGAGCACTTACTTGAGCGTTGGAGTGTCTTTGTAGGCACCCCCCTTTCACATCGGACTACTCGGATAGGAACGAGAAGACCGAGATTCAAGATCCGACCCGCTACAAGGATAATTGAAGTGTGTTTCCTAACACAGGAACATATATTATCAATAATACCACATAAAAAGTAATGTTATTACAGATGTTTTTAATATTTTATTGTATACCCTCCATGTCTAAAGTTGAATAATTAATTAAGGCGACTCAGCAAGTTACATTAACTTTTTTGTACTTACGTGTTTGAGGCTACACGACTATGTATCTTTAAAATCTAAAGATAATTAGAGTAAATTGTTATAAGAACCATTGTGTTGGTTACCTGATTTAATCCACATAAAAATCCAATGATTAGGCCTTAAAAGCTAAACTTATTTACAATAATTTGGGTCAGAGATAATCATGCTAACAGCAATTTGGGTTAGAGATAATCATGCTAAGTTTGTTTAGAATTAGTCTTGAGAGAATAAAATTTTTTAATACATCCTAACACAATTATATAACCTCTCCTTGATTAAGAGGAGCTAAGTAACACTAGTTGAATGTTTTTCGGTATGCTCGGCCAAAACCATGTGCCGGCTCCAAGATGATTTCAAAGAGCTTAGTTAACGTAATGCATTGGATTAGCCCCCTAATTTCCCGGGGCCCAGTCCCTAATCACGGCCCAATAAGAAGTCATATAAATAGAGTCCCAACGAGGTACGTAACCAACTTTCAACTACCGCATTTATTACGCCGAGCACTTACTTGAGCGTTGGAGTGTCTTTGTAGGCACCCCCCTTTCACATCGGACTACTCGGATAGGAACGAGAAGACCGAGATTCAAGATCCGACCCGCTACAAGGATAATTGAAGTGTGTTTCCTAACACAGGAACATATATTATCAATAATACCACATAAAAAGTAATGTTATTACAGATGTTTTTAATATTTTACAATTGTGCTCTTTAGGATTGTCAGGTTGGTGACGCGGGTTGAGTCTCCTGAAGTTGTATGTTCGTTGCTCATTTTTCTTGGGTGCTCGTCTGATACGGTTCCTAGTACGGACCGTGCGGGTAGCCGATAAGAGCTTGGTCTGATCGGCCCCACGGTGGGCGCCAAATGTTCTTATCGAAAATCTGCTGTAGAGCTGATCCGCCGGGTAAGATTGGTGAGCCTCCTTTGCTGGGTGTATTGGTGCTCCGAGATGGGGGAGGTACCTGCAAAAGAGACTCTGATGCTAAAGTTAGGGTTTGTATGAGTATGAGTCTCGTATATATGTAATGCACATACCTTTGTGTGAGTTAGGGTTGTCTTGGGCCTT